ATACTTGTGTCTGTGTAGGTGTACTTGAAGTTTTCTTTGTATAGCATCTACATCCTACAGTGACTCTACACTGGCCCTCTATTTACCATCATATTATTGGTCCGCTGTCAAAGCGCGGCTGACAAGTCCCCTGTCCTGTATACATCATAGCAACATTTGGGTTACGTTAGTCGTGTTGTACAGACTACCGAGCCGTGTCGCGTTATCCTGCTTGTGAATTATAAATTAGGGGACGAGCATCAGTGGTGTGCTCTCAGTGGATATAGAATATGTTGAGCGCGTTGCGCGAGACAGTCCATTTCTGTTTAATCAAGCACGAGATGCGATGCTGCAGTTAATTTGGGTACAATGTTGAGCCAATTCAAGCCCTAATGAATTCGGTAAATCATCAAGAGAATCATTTAAAAATGAAATAACATGGACGATATATCAGCCAATAACTTAATATATCTTGAAATTTTCAGCCGAAAATTAGAGTACTCTGTAGCTTAACTTAATTTCCTCAATGTAATAGAGCAGTGACGACTTCCGTTGACAAAACATCATCAGGCAACTAGGGAGGCGCAGGTGTTAGGATTCCCTATTCTATTAATTTGTGGAGCACGGACTACGATAATAATTCCATATTCTATTAATTAATTTGGGGGCGGACTACGATAATAACTCCCGCAGAAGAGATATAACTCCTCCCTGAGAATAACTCACGACGATAGGAGGGAGTTCTTTTCGGCCAACAGCAGAGTTAGCTTCATGAATAATGCAGTCGTAGGAAAGATGCTCAACTGCTAACAAACTAAATATCCAAAGCTATGTCCAAAAATGTCCAAAGCGCCGAAAAACGATCACACAATAATCTCTCTCACGCATAGAACATTTGCGACCAGTGCATGCGCTAGTGACTTTAAAACCGAACTCCTATGTTACAAACTCATCTTGGTAAACAATGCATAATGGAACGAAACAATCGAATGCGAAATTTCAGATCATCGATCGCGCCAATGCCAGGCTGACCAGACGGAAGCTGACCCAGCTAAACGGAACCATTTACTGCCTTCTATACTGTAAAAGTCATATGAACAGCGGGTGCAAGGCATATGAAAGGTTCTTACGGTCAATCGTGCAAACTGACCCATGAGCAAGATTGTAAATGACAAAGTCAAGTTATCTGCTAGATTAACATGAACGTCGTAAACCCTGTCACAAAAAAGTCTTGTCATAAATCGGCACTTAAAATCAAGATTGTTTATATATATTAATTATTACTGTAGTAATGAAGGGTTGTAGAGTTCTTCAAAACATAAACTATTGTGGTATGGCTCCAATTACCTTAAGCAGCCGTCTCACCTCCGGAGGACCAGAGAACCACCTGAGGGAGGCCCGCAACGAGACCATCACTTGGGTCGCACAGCATGGAAGCCAACAGCAGCATCATCATGCAGTGCCCCAACGATATGACTGGCGAAAGTTGAAGCCCTCATTATCAATAGTTAGTCCGGATATCAAATTACCAACCACCGAATTGGTCAGAACATTAAAATTATTTTCAGAGTAATTTTAGGTTCTAATTTTCGAGTTGTGTTCACAATACCTCAGTTTGTGTAAATATGTTTTGTTAAAATGAAGCTTTTAAGCGTGAAAAACTTTACTTGAAAATGAATAATGTGTTGTCAAAACGTCGTGCGATTATAATAAAATTACACATGAAAACTTCTTATTGGAATTTTCAAATCCTACAAAAAATCAAATTCACCTAATTGAGGACAATAAGATAATCAGTAATAAGAATTACTTGCTGGTATTCAACAAAACCCGCGTTAAAAATGAGAGTAGTAGATGAGTTGACGCTCAAATGTTCACAATATACATCTGTGTCAGTCAAAAATGGATTAATGCAGGACAGATTTTTTATATGTGATGTTTTTGATATAGTGGCGAGTTGCGTTCAGGGGTGAGTGCCTGGCGGTTTATTTTTCATTGGCGGTAGTAAACTTTCGGTTCACTTCTAATCCGTGCAATAAGAGTGCACCAAATTCCTCTTTATTTTATTTGGTAGCAATAATGGTTTTGTATTATTTGAAGTGACTCATTATCTCTGAACTGCGTCCGTTCCATTTATTTTTAATTATTTGTGATTGTTTTTTTATCTTCAACCCACTCAGTTTAATATAATTCGTTTCTTATTCGAGTTCATATGTTTGAAGTCAGAAAACATACAAAGTAAGTGGACAGCTGAGATGTAGTGTTTGGTAGCGGGGTGTAGCTCTGGGCCATACTTACAATACTCGCTAAGTGAACGTAAGTACTTACGCTCTATTTTCTTGTCTATGATTGGTGGATTTTGCTTCAAAGGCCGTCAATTATTGGAGGATGAACTTACGATCTCTTAACTTTTTTTGAAATTATAGGCCCAGGGTTTGTAGTTCTGAGTGATGCCAGTTCAAGTAGCGACGCCGGAAAAGCAGTTGTCCTCTTGCGCTGCAACTGTACATGCGGTGCATGATCATTCATTACCTTCATATTCGACGCCTGACGTCGGATACGAAGAAGGGTTAACAGGGTTATATCGACGTTCGTCGTCGTCGGATATATAGATGGGTTAACAGGGTTATATCGACACCAACTAATTGATATGAGGAAGTATTACAATGGTTTATCGACTCTCGAGTTGGATAAATGTCGGGAAGATGTCGCAGACTCTGATGGGCAACTTTGAATTCAACTAATAAACCCTTGAGTTTCGGTTCAAAATTAAAAAAAGTCTGGTGAATGTGTAATACAATAATAATTATTCCGTTTGTTTTCGAAATTTGATAAGTTTAGCTGTATGATAGAAAAATGGGCTCATGCCCTCCTACGCATGATGCTCAGTTTACAATAGTTACTACGCCGTAGTATTCGTTTTTTATGTTGATTGGAGAAAATGTACGAAGGATAAACATAAATATTTAAACAAAATAGGTTCGATATTCTACTTATTGTGTTTACCTTTTATCTTCTATACAATTTCTCCTATATAAATAAGATGGGGCTACTGCTAAAAAAATTTTACCTTTGTAAATTATTTATTATGTTGAGAACTCACCTTTCGAATGTGAATTGACATTAATTTTAACATTTTGGAGACAGGTTCAAATTTTTTCACATATATTGTTACCTATTATTATTCATTTCGGTATTTCTAAATTAAATTAGTACGTGCTAATTAGTACATTTATTGAGTACGTTTGAAGCCGACGCAAGATTACGTTTTGCACGGATCATACATAATGCATGCAATATGTGTTATGCACGTAACATACATGACGCATCTCATCACTTGGGTGCTCATCAACATCCCGAGATCGCGGATAAGTTTCTTTATTACGAGTCTGCGCCTCCAGGTGCCATGTAGTTTGAGTTCTTCCGCTTCTTTCGTATCTCATTACCTCAAAATTGGCTGCAATTACAATGTTGTTTCACTTGCGCCCAGCCACATATTTATGTTGTTTCACTTGCGCCCAGCCACATATTGCAGGTCTTTTAGCATATAGAGTGATTTGAATGAGTGACAAAAATGTCTTAATTGTCTGCCATTGTTGCATCTTAAATCAATATCTTATACAGGCTGTACATCAATGTTAGCAGCAAAATTATATCTATAGTATTTAGTGCATTAGGATGTTTTGGCATTAATGGCATGTAATGGGACTCCAGAGGGGCTCACACTAACCTGCTGACTGTGGCCCAAATATTGGCAAAATTCTTTCTGATTTTCCATGCAATATGACCGCTGCAATCGTTCTTAGTCGCAGATTGAAATGTACAGAAGTAATTAATATTATGTATGAAAAATAAAACAATATTCTTTGTCCATAAATTTTTAATAGCAGATTTTTTAATGAGTTAACACACGAAAAAGTTTAAAGAAATTCTTAATTATCTCTTTTCAACCCGTAACTTTAAACCATGTTGAAAATAATGCCTGTCATAAATCTCTACAACCAGTGAACCTGTTGTACACATCTAGTAGAACCAATGATGGAGCACAATCAGAAGTAAAATATTTTGATAAAATAACAATATTCTGGATATATGGGACGTGATTATACATTAATCAACCTCAAGTTTGTCATATATAATAATGTTGTAACATTATATGTACTCAAGCATGATAATATCAACAGTGATGAATTGAAACTTTAATACTTTCACAATCTCATCGCGTCATTGTAATCTTTTATCAAAACAAAGCAGGAGATTTCAATCTCGATACTTTGTTTCGACACCAGCGTAAGAACAGAACGTACTGAGGATTGCAACATGATTCTATACTCAATAACAATAATATAATAGGATGTCATAATGTTTCAAGACTAATATATACACTAATTTACACTAATAACCCAGAACGAAATCGTTTTATGCTCTGTGTAATTTTTTTTAAACAAATAGACATGAATTAAAATTCATTTGAAACGTAGAAATGCGGCATTTTGCATGCTTTTAGTAGCCTTGTTTTCATATATCTCAGTTCACGAATTGGTTTCGTTTGAAATTATTACTAGTAACACTATAGCAATAATAAGCTGGAGAAATCTTTAATATGCAGCACCGTTTTAAAAATCTGGCTGAAAATTATATTTTAAATTTACCTGAAACACTATTAAGATAAGCGTGTTTAAATCTAAAGTTACAAATAGGTCATACACTCATTCGGCAATTTCTTCATGTTGTTGTTGTAATTGCCCATCCTGGTAGTGGCGACTAGGGAGGGGGGGTGATAGGTCAGTTTTTCCGGGCACTCGGTGCCACTGGTAGTTCTACGACCATCACTGGCTCGCTGACCCGCTAGAACCATTTGGTTGCATTACACAACACCCTGGACAAGCCAGGTACTCATTTGTCAACCAGAGTTGGATGAATGGCTGAGTTGACCATGAGCTGAGCTTCTCGGAAGAACTTGTCCTCAGTGGGACTCGAACCCGGGCGCTGGGTGCGAGAGACAGAGTCTTTCACCACTGCACCACCACAGCTCACAACTTCTTCATAAAAATGAAGAAGTTGCAACTTCTTCATTGTTATGAAGCCAATTGAATTGAATAACTTCAACTTCTTCATAACAATTACTGCCATAACACTACAGTAGAATAGTTAAGACACTTGGCTGATTCATGATGAAAGGATACATCTTATAAGCTAATTTAATTTTCAAGTTTAGAACAGTGTCATATATCTAATGGGAGAAAATATATTCTAAGGAACTTTTGGTGTGATCGAGCAGTGATTCGATCATGAAATGGTGGTGTTCAATACTCTTCATTTCGTCTGTGACGGAACAATGCCGGTTTAAACGATAATGAAATGGATGAATTTCTGAATTAAAATTAATTTTTTTAAATAGATTGGTGTCCAATGGTATGCTTGTCGATTGAAACTGCTATAGAAAAATATACTTCACTTAAAATATTTAGAGATTACATTTTTCGATTGAAACTGCTATAGAAAAATATACTTCACTTATAATGTTTAGAGATTACATTTTTACATGAAGATAGCGATGCAATATTTGTCATCGGTTAATTTATCATTTTGGCGACGTGTCACTGCATACTTATATGTAAATCTTTCTGATAAAATGTCTCTCAACTATTAAACAAAAGTAATATTTTCTGTAAATAAACTGCATTCTCCCGAGAAGGCAAGGCAAGGAATGAATGCACCTGTGTTGGTACAATTGATTTCATAACAAATTTGGCGGTCATTTCATAATTTTTGTTGAACCGGTCATTCATTTTATCTTTGAATGCATTACACTCTTCCATACGCCAATAAATCGTCGCAACACTTTTCTTCTCGATCTGAAGTAGCAGATTTATTCGCCATTGATTTTTTTTTCAATAATTGCCGATTGGATGAGCCGCCCTATCCAACATAATTTGATTCTATCTAAAATTCAGACAATTGTTTTCTCTACGGTAATCAACACAACAAAGCTTCGACTTTCAACTCGAATATACCCGAAATCAAGTTGTTAGAGAATCTGGGATTATTTTTGAACGCGTGCCAAGCACCGACGCTTTAGTGTCGGGGAATTTCTCACAGTCAAGCCTGGACACAATTGAGCCAGAACGCTCGACTGCGACAGGGTACAGCAGCATGTGGCATGAAGTAGGAGGAACACTCATGTCAAGGAAAGATTTGAGACAATCCTCGGCGAGCTGATGTACTCTTTGCATGCATAAGGGTTGACTAGGATCTAAGTCAAGTGGGGCTTTTTCACCGAGATGTTCTGCCCATAGACATTTTCGAAATATGGATACTTGCCCGGAGGCACCGATCCTTGGCTGGTGCGCTCCAATGGCAAGCTCGGTGTTTCTGAAGCCAACCATTGAACGGTCGTTGATGTTGCCTGATCCTATGATGATGTACTCATCGTCGAAGACGGCAAGCTTGGAGTTTACAGTTATGTAGGATCGTTTGTTTTTCACGATGTGGGGACTAGGCAACGACGTGTCTTCAGAAAGTTGCTTCAAAAGTTTGGGTGTCGCATTGGACTCTTCTCTCTTCCCGAGACTGAGAAAAAGAAGGTAGTCTTGTGGATGAGCGTCGAGGCCTTGTTCTTGAATGGCATTACTAATTCTCTTGTACATCATTTCCATAGTGTGGTATTGCCAATGTAGGATTTCCTGGTTCATCATGTCATCGGGATTTCCTTCTGGGTGAAGTGACAACACAATGTATACTCTGTAAGGCTTGTTTTCTTTTATCTTTTGAGTAATTTTTAAAGTGATTTCTATGGGAATCAGATTTTTACTCTGTATATCACTACAATCTTCCCAGAAGTGACTGCTGCCGATGAAACATGACGTTTCCATGTAAATGAAACGCTTTGAGCGGCGAATCTGATGAAGGTACGCCTTGTACAGACTGTTATCAACTCTGATGCCTGCATACGTGTAGATATTGTCAGAAGAGGCGAGTGGCACAGAATCTTCCGACGCAGACCGAAACATCTGAACGTTCCAGCTGTCAAGAGAGTCGTATGTATAGCTGCTGAATATTCCAGATGATCGGCACAGCTGGAAGTCAGAATCAGATACGACTGCTTCGGTTTCCCATCGATCCTGGAAATTAGTTAAAATATCGAGCGCCGCAGACCCAACCACTTTGCACATCACCTCATGCCACGGTGATTTGGAGCTCGACCTGGTAATGGTTGCTATCAGGTTGTTATAAAACTGACTTTTTGATTCACATTCTCCATTGTGTCCTAGTTTGTGTTCTGGATTATCGTGCCTGCCTTGGGCGAGGTCAAAGCAACCTACGTAAGCCACAACATTCCTCAGCCCCGGACTTTTTTCGACGACCTGATCAGCAATTAGGCACCTTTGACTGTGTGAAAATCCAAACTTTGAATATGCAGCATCCTTGTATAGTGTGTCTTTCTTAGACTTTTTTCGCGCAACACAATCAACTTTCACCAAGGACTCTTTGAAAAATTCCTTAGCAGTATCTTTTTTGGAGTCCTGCGAGTCGCCTTCATCCCATAATAACAAACGCACATCCACGCCTTCGTCAGCTCGTTCCAGCAGTATTTTGCCAATTGTTTCTCCATTTCCACATTCAGTTCTCACAAGAACTATACTCGCATTCAAGCTCCATCCAGCTATGCAAATAAATTTCTTGGCTCCAGCGAGGGTGTCACGAATGTCGTTCCAGGCGTTGTTGGGACTGTAAGGCCGTCCTAACGAGTCCAGAATTGTACAAGGGAGTTTTTCGCAGCGCGCGTCCTGATAAAGTTTGACGTTGTTTTCGATGCGCCCTGGAAACACGCACTTTGGTACTGAAAATAAAGGCTCATCTGAAATTTTCGTATACCTGAGAGTAAAAGTGAGTTTTCCAGCTTCCTTGGTTTTATTTTTGTATAAGGGTCTCTGATCAGAAATTAAAGTTCCATCTTCGATTTCATTGACATGAACTTCCACGGAACACATTTTGTCATGTTTCACAATATCTTCGTCGTAAACGATAAAGATTACCTTAGCAACTTCGTGGCAAACATCCACACTGAAAGATTGATCCCATTTTGGGCACAAGTTGTCATCAATGGTTTCAGTTCGCGCGAGTTTATAAATTTCTCCATTAGAATTTTGAACAGCAACCACTACGAAAGGGTCGCTTTTATTTTTTCTGTTCAGAAGCGACGAGTCGAAATTTGGGAGTTGCTCGGCTTCCTTCACGGTCACGTCAAGTTTTCCATGCAAAAATGTCGCCGTATCATTCAGATTCTCATCAATCTTCTTTGCAATGCAGCCTTTCTGTTTCTCGGCTTTGGACATTCGTCTTGGGGACGTTGATCCTGTTGAGTTCAGTTTCACTTTCACCACTAATTGCCCAGCATCGGGGGTTTTCTTGTTGAACAATGCGAGTGTTACCATTTGCTGATCAGGACCAATGCAGCTTGCATCCAAACTACAGCTTCCTAGCTTGTCGTCGCGGAAGAGGCTCTTGTCTTTAACGATAAAACGAATTTCAGTTAAATCTTGATCAATGTCGATGCATATATTTGTTAGCCATTTCGGATTACAATGATCTTCGATTGATGAAGTTTTGGCGATTTCTGTCACTGACTTCGGACCAACGAGTTCGACGATGCAATATGGGTTGATGACGTGGCGGCTAAACAGACCCTTGGCCTCCACCACCACCAGCTCGAGCCGACCGTGAAGCTGCACCATCTTGCACTCTCTGTGAAATTAACAACGTCTTCAGGGATATCAGTAATTTAACAATAAAAAGTTTAATTTTCACGTTAATCTTACGGAGTCTACTTGATTTAGTGCAAGCATGAACAAAAATAGTTCAACGATAAAATTTGTGCACGTACAAAAAGAAAACAATGGAAGGAAAGAGGGTTTGAATCTCTTTTTCAACGTAAATATCAATAAAATTGCCAAAACCATTGTAATTAAGTTTCGAGTGTAAATATTACTCGTATATGTTAAATAATTACCGTACAAAAAAATACAATTTTCTTAAACTTTCTTCTCATTTGAATACATCACTGTCATCATCTACCAGTGTTTACCTTTTAAATTATGTTTCCGGAGAGAAGAATGAACTATATTCAATTTGAGGGACCGTCTCACTTGAAAAATCCAGCCATTGGTAGAGGGTTCGTCAACGCACAACTTGCTGCTCACAAAGATAACCTGTAAATGTGCACCTCGCCTCTCGGTGCAGGGAGTGCGCAACATCTGTGCCAACACTGAACACTCGTGCAAATGTTGACTACGACGAGTCAGCGTCGGGAGTTGCTCAAGATTGGTGGTATATGTAGGCACAGGTGTGACATGGTCGCTGGTCCACGCTCACCTGCGAAGCTCTGCCACCGAAACTCTTTCACTAGCATCTCAATTGCAGGTTTTGTTGCATTTGAAATATCAGGGTTCATAGCAGTGAAATTTCATTTAGAGAATACCAGAGAATACCAAGATTGGTGGTATATGTAGGCACAGGTGTGACATGGTCGCTGGTCCACGCTCACCTGCCTTGCTGTGCCACCGAAACTCTTTCACTAGCATCTCAATTGCAGGTTTTGTTGCATTTGAAATATCAGGGTTCATAGCAGTGAAATTTCATTTAGAGAATCTGCTAAGGGCTTGGAGTAGCTAGTTTGGATGATTCAAACTACTTTCAGTGAACTTCGAGGAGCCAATGTCTTGCATTCTGAATCATATTATTAATGTTAAACAAAGACTAAGCAATGTAAGGGGCCTAAAAATAAAAATAAAATAAGTTTCGGCTTTTGAACAATTGTCATTTCAGCCAGGCTTTTATTTATAAAGAAGGTTGATTAGAATTTAAACACAAAAACTCACTTAACGATTTTATTGTAAATTAAATCAAGTTGTAAATTCTGTACAAGATATGGCCTGTGACAAGCACGCTGTTTGACAAACAACAAGCGCGTCATTTAAGTGACAAATGCATGCTATTGGACCGCTCAAAATAATCCATGCGTTTCATAACCAGAATATTTCCCAGCATTCGCTACCACTGTTACAAAATCTTCACATCTCATGAATTTTATATTTAAGGGTAGAGAAGTGAGAAACTTCAATCAATTGTTAACGAAAGTAACTATGACTGCCAACAAATAATTTTAACTAATATCAACAGTTATGAAACTTGCGTTGAATGATTGACTTCACTTGAACGTATTTGATGAAACGAGAGTGTCATGGTAGCATTTGAAGTCTCCTCCTAACAACTGAGACGAACGAACGAGCTTAATGTTATTAATCACTGAAACAAGCACTCAACGAGATCAAGTTGATATGAAAATTTCAGTTCCGTGAAGTAAAATCCATATTTAAGTCAACTTGAACTTTATAAACTATTCGTCACTAACAAAAAGTAACTTGAGCACATCAGCTACAAAGTCAACTAATGAATAATCGAAAATGTTATATGGACACACAAATTTCAAATGTGCAAGTGAGTGAAGCAATATGATGGTTCATTAGAGATAACTAGCGCCATACAACCTATAATGAACCATACTGGTGTCAAAAGCTTAAGCGTAATTAAATGTAACGATGGACTCGTGACTTGCCATACAAACATGAAACAAACACGACAAAATCATCCAGTGATTTGAATCAATTTGGCCGGACAGAGCGACAAAACAAAACATTGATCGCCGAGCAAAGACCATCGGCTCGCATAAATTGAATTGTCGCACGGAAACATAGTCATGTATTAATCATACAAAACACTCTCCTACAAAAATGTACAAAATTATGAGCAAAATTGTCCAACTGTATGCGCTAGAATAAAATATATTACAATGACTGGCGTAATAATGCACTTATCAATGAAACATTAAAACGAAAAACGATAATTACATCTTGCCGGCAACTTCGTCATTCCAAAATCGAAATTCACAGGCATTTTCTAGTAAGGCGATTAACATGAAAGAAACAAAAAGCTAAGATTAGAGAATTCGTTCTACATGTACTGTATACTCGACGGAAAATCCGTCTGTTCAAAAGTTAGCTCCTGCGGAAGTTTTTTGTGCGATGAATCTAAACTGAAGTTTTTCTACATATACGAGAATGCAGTGCAAGACATTCAAATTTATGGTACTCATAAGCTGAAACTTCTCCAGGGAACAAATTAATCGAACATGCGGGATAATAAATACATTTCATACAGCCAACATCGCTGCGTAAAATTTAAGCAAAATCATTTGCGTAGTGGAGCAATTGAAATTTTATATTGGTATTCGTATACTTGATTGGAGTTGACAATCAACGCTAACAATGATGGCAATAAAAAAAATATTTATCTTAATTCCAGATCTTGATTTTGAAAGCTCCAGAAACTGCGCAATAATTAATGGATATCGAACTTGGATACATGTTACCTACGTTCAGGAAACCTCGGCCGCATGTAACATTATGAACGTAATCTACCAAGTCTCAGCTTTTACACATTCCTCGCTGATAAAAATGAAACCCAGGCCTTGTGCGAATAAAAGAATATGAATTATTTAACTCGATTTTTATCGCCACCTTAAATTATTCCTGACATTTGAGCTTCTCATGACTCCAAAGTTAAGCCTACTATTGAAATAAGAATTATCCCCCCAGTTAGAGCGCACAATCAATGACAGGTTGAATTGGCAACAACGAATTGTAAAGCGAAACAGATTACTGCTATCTGGTAAACCGCCCAATGTGCGTCACCTTCAAATAATATAACAAAAAAATTTCACATTGTATTATCTGACAGCGAATAAACCTTAAATCAAATCAATACATTTGAAATATCGTCAAAAATTTAGAACCCGACAAAAGACTAACTGAATCTAAGTAGATTTGACAGCAACTTCGACATTGGTAGTATTCTTCTCAATTAAACATTGTGAATAAAATCACAAAGTTAATGACGTAAAATTACGCATAGAATCTACAGCATTGGAAGCTTCATAAGGCGCAATCTTCACAATGCAGGAATTGAAATAGCGAGTCAAACTGTAAGTATTTTTAACTTGAGACACTTCGCTGAGGATCTTGCAAGTAGACAATTTCATCAGCATGCCAACGGTTTCCCATCGTCTCGGTCTCAGTCCGAACTCCTGCCACTGCACCATGTCTGAAATAGGAAACATTGATTACAATAACGTCATTCAGAATAATATTCATTTTTACGCACTGCAGAGAATATAAGAACGGCATGATCTCTCCATGCTTAAATACAATCAGAATTGAAGGGCATACGTAAAAAATTTAATGCTCTGCACAAACATCGCTTACAGTAATCGTGTTTACTTAATACATTTATTTTAGATAGTCATAGCACGAAGAAAGAGAACAAAGCTAGACTGGATGATGCAACATATACTCAGCGATTGAGATACTGCAAAAAAATGGCTGGATCAAAATTGGAAACGAGGAAAAAATGCGTAACAATATAACCGGTAATTCCGACTATTCACAGCGCACGTGTATGGTATCGATTCCCGAGGAAAAAGTCAGCCACGTGAACGAAATGACATTCAACAACACTTGTGAATACTGAACTTTTCAAAGTGAATTGATGGCATAGCTAGTGAACCAACAGCAAAAGAGTTCTGAAAAAATAACGATCTTTGAATTATGTGATGGCATAGCTAGTGAACCAACAGCAGAAGAGTTCTGAAAAAATAACGATCTTTAAATTATGTGATGGCATAGCTAGTGAACCAACAACAAAATAGTTCTGAAAAAATAACGATCTCTAAATTATGTGATGGCATAGCTAGTGAACCAACAACAAAATAGTTCTGAAAAAATAACGATCTTTAAATTATGTGGTCGATACGCCGGATGTTAGCGACTAGAAGCGACATCCGTACGGATCGATGGCGTGGCAGTTGGAGCACGCGTTCCATGCGTATACGGAGCACCGCGGGTCGATTGCCGCACACAGCTCATGAGCTGAGATATTTCGAATCCGTTTCATTGGTTGCAAAATGTACTAAAAATATTCGCGGAATAATTTTCAATATTATCCAAGGAATATTTAGAAACACCGTTTTTTTATCTCGTTTGCAAGTAAATCAGAATGAATATGAAGTCGAATTCAAATATACTTCTCCAAAGTTGACACTCTATAATGTCTTTTTTTAATAAACACAGACACTACGTTTTTCGTTTAAGCGGCTATATTTGGGTGCTAGTCTGTCTTTCATATTGATACAGCAGCCTTACTTTACGGAGACTTCTTCATTATTTCCTGTCTTGACATGAAATAATGCCCGACACGACAGGCATTCAGTTCTCAGAGAACTGGTATATCTCACACCTTGGACAAGCGTTTGGTAAAAGCACTAGAATTCAAGAACACGCAATAAAATTCATGGAAATTCATGGATCCTGGCAAGGCTGTGCCAACAAGGCAGCATTTGAACCGGCACAGCTGCGCCCGCTAACGATGCAGATGTCCTGCAGCTAATGAAGCTTGACATTATAGCGTGTACGTCAGCCAAAAGCTCTTCTTCCAATGGCTGCACTTATTGACCGCCTCAGCCCACACCAGCAAACAAGCAGGTTCTTAACAAGCCTCTATGCATGTATCCGTGATACAGGTGTGGGTATGAACAACCCTCCTATACCTATTACAAATGAATATAACATTCTTCTTTTGTTTATTCGCGAACTCGGATGCGTGAACCCAAATTTGCATGCTATAAAATCTCTAATATCATGGATCCATAACATCATACCGTTGATTAATATATCGTAGAATAATAACCCTCGATAACAGAGGTATGACGGTTGATGATTGGTTGATTTAAATCGATTTTCATAACAAAGTATAAAATGACCGCCAGAACATCTGATGCCGACGTTCGGCTGGATATTTCGTGGCGATCGAAATGTCAGCAACTTATATACCTATACGTAATAACTAATACGGCAACTCGTAAGTCATCTGACCGGATTGAAACCAAAGCGACGCATGATTATAGTCAAATGAACTAGAAAAATCAAATGTGGATCAGGAAAAGTTATCGAGGCGTTAAGCTGTGAGATAAGCGCTGGTAATATAGAGCGACAAAGTATGACGCTTGCCAGCGGTCTGTCCCTGATCTGGCACGATGCGACCTGATGGCGCGAGAACCTGTTCTCCATAACGGGCCAGCTGTGCCTGACGTACCGACGAACACCGCTTCAGTTACACCCTCTTGTGTGACGATAAGGTTCTCCAGTGCCGCACCGTACAGCTTCCAGCCTTACTTGCGGTTGTGGCAGTTCTATATGAATACAACCCTCTTGGGTGACGATAAGGTTCTCCAGTGCCGCACCGTACATCTTCCAGCCTTACTGGCGGTTGTGGCTGTTCTATATGAATACTTTGTCTAATTTTATTTTAATTTTTCTTTTAATCTCATTGCGTTGCTTTACAGTATGCGTTTTCAAAGCGCAGTAATGCAGTTATTTATTCCAGTGCGATACGACCATCGAGTATACGGGGGATAAATGAAAGAAGGGCAGCAATACAGTCACACGTTCAAATACCATACAAAGTAACCAACGAGAGCAAAGAAGATATAAATGCAAAGCGCAGAATTACAGTTATTTAATGATGTACCACGCGACCATAGAGTGCAGAGGAGAGATAAATGAAGAGTTTACAAGTTTCCAGCAAATCTACGGAATTGATCTCCCAATTTGACAAGGTTTGCACGCTTAGTCTCAGTCTACACACAATGTGTAGAGATGAAGTTATCAATTCTTAAGACTTGAAGTCAAGCTGAGATCTTTACGTATTTTATTAGCAGATCTCAAACGCAATTATTAGCGACAACTGCCCTAAGGCAATGCACCTAATATACTAGCATGCATTTTCCCAGAAACTCTCATATTCGGCGATATCTTAGCTCATCAGAAGGTAGCGTTCAGCTTCCTGTGAGACCATTTAAAGGCAAAGTAATCATGTGATAACAATGGAAGCTACGCGAAGGTTCTGCAGCAGATCGCCAAACAAGAGTGAAGGGCAGGGCAAGAGTAGCGGGAATTGAGGACCATTTAATAGCAAAGTAATCATTGATTACAATGGAAGCTACGCGAAGGTTCTGCAGCAGATCGCCAAACAAGAGTGAAGGGCAGGGCAAGAGTAGCGGGAATTGAGGTGAAGGTCTGTGCTTTTGGTCACGATGGAGGGCAATCTCACGACCTCAATGCCGTATTTGCGACACCTTCATCCTCCTCTGCGACAAAGACGCTGCAGCACCAACGTCGTCCGCAGCTATCACGGCAATTTCTCTGAGAAAATTTTTTAACAGAGCCGAAGTTCATGGGTCTCGATCGTCACTTGTTTCCTAATATGTTTGTTGGAAAATTCTCTCCTATCAAATGAATAACGAAACACTTCTACCTAAACACAACATATAATTTAGCCATCAACAGGCTCTAGTTCTATTACAAATAAACGTTGGTAGGCTTCATAATGCGATATGGTGTGTCAAAAATAAAAGAAAAATATACAAATTTTTCTAATAATATACTCAATTATCTCAAAGTTTAAGCAGCGAATGTGTTCATGAGATAAATTAAAAACATACCAAACTAAGGTATTTTGTTAGCCTGAAATAAACATAATGATAAGTAGGAACAATAAGTGCAATACTGCATGAGTGATGCTGCTTAAATAAAAATAATGATAAGTAGTAATCAGCACCACTATATTTATTTATATGAAAGTTGCTGCTTAAATAAAAAAAATTGATAGGTAGGAATAATAAGTGCAGAAATGCATGAGTGGTGGTGATTAAATAAAAGTAATGATACGTAGGAATAATAAGTGCAGGAATGCACGAGTGGTGCTGCTTAAATAAAATACTGATAAGTAGGAACAATAAGTGCAGGAATGCATGAGTGATGCTTAAATAAAATATTAATAAGTAGGAACAATAAGAGCAGGAATGCATGAATTGCGATGCTTAAATAAGAGTAGGCTAAAAGGTGGCACGTAGAACGCGATGCTGGCAGTGGCAGTGGCACACTCAGTGCCACACTCAGTGGCAGCGCCCTCACGACATAGCAGCTCCAGGGAGCTGACATTTCAGCGACGGGCCGAGTATCATTTCAGGAATCTGGAGCTAAGGAGCCCCGCCCTGAATTCTTCTCACCGCGACAAGAAAAGCACCCAATAAAATGTAACGAAATTTAGGACGCAATGTCATGTATCGTGTCTATAAAATTAAAACTTAATAAAGATGATACTACAATTAATTAAGTTCGTCATAACTCAGTGTCATGTCTCGTGTCTATAAAATTAAAACTTAATAAAGATGATACTACAATTAATTAAGTTCGTCATAAGTCATAACTCAGTGTCATGACTCGTGTCTATAAAATTAGAACTTAATAAAGATGATGTTAGAATTAAGTTCCATTGTTATGGTTATTTTCGGATTTTTTTCAATCAGAATCAGATCGTACTATAAGTGCCAGTAATTTCATATATTGGCTCTTGATAACATTGATAAATCGTTTGAGACTACGCAAGTAATGGAAGTTTTCTCCCACCAGGCACGTTTAGTTCGAGGAAAAATACTTCCGGAACACGCAGTGTGCATTGCCGGCGAGGTCTGTACGTCAACTGCTTGTCAGTCCTTCAATCCATGAGACTTTTGCTAATAATGTCTCATGGACAAGATACGCTTAACAAAACTACAATTTGTTAATGAGTTATAAGACCCGAGGTTATGCTGATATTCATCAATACGTTTCAGCGAATCATCGGATGGTTTTCGATTATTCTGCGAATCATTGCTAATACACAGGACGAAAGAACAAGTCAAGATGGGAGACTTTTACGTCACACCTCCATTCATCCAGATACTTGATTCAAAAAATCAAAATTCATTCAAAAAAATTGTTTTCCTTAATGTCGAAATGTCTATGATGTGTGGTTTGGCCCTAAAATTTCGTGCTGTGGGAATTTTGAATGCGTTCTGGAATTAGGCTCTGGTTTCACATCATGCAATAAATAAATCGTGCAGTCGTAAAAATAAATTGTACTTCAAGAAATCGTATTTTGATGGTTTAATTTCTCATAAAGAATTCGGCGCAAACGAAAATAATCTAGAATTCTCTCCACTAGAA